GTATTCATCCAGGTAGATAATGCCATGTGTATCCTGATTCCTGACCATCACATAGTTTCTTAAGGGGGCACATCACCCAAAAATTTCATATGGCATTCAATTGACCGTAACTTTGGTGTTTCTCAGTGGATTTGAGTGAAATTTTGACCACACACTCCTGCCACTATGCTGGCCCTCAGGACATGATTTACAAGTTCTTGCGCCTCACTGACAGGCTTTCCAGGCCGGGAAAACTCAAATTTCCGGCATAGTGCTACGGTGTGCGAGCCACCCAGGAGCCAAACAAATGCATTTACATTTTTTTCACATTTTCGTGCCCATTCTGTCCGTGCGCGGGACCCAAACCTAAAACAAGTCCAGAAGCAGCCATGGGTGGTGGGGTAGGGCCCCTCAACGTGGCCCTGGAATCTGTCACAACGGAACGAGTGGGCGTTCTTTCACGGACTCCCACAGACCCAAGTCAATTTTTGAATTTTTTTAGGTTTAGCACGTGCTACGAGGTCGTACCTTTGATACAACATCCAGTGCTGGGACCTCCACAGCAAGCCATTTCCACAGCGCTGCACACCAAATCCAGGATGCCCTCAGAAACCGGCAAAGACTGCCACTCACGTTTCACTACTGCCTATAGTCTGTTTCAAAAAGATTTACAATCAGGTTTGGGTCTTAAAAAGTATGAAGATAAGGGAAATTTGGACAACAAAGTACATAGAATGGCTTGTTAGGACACGGCAAATTGTTCTGTGAAGGTTTCGGAACAATAGGACCAACCGTTAAGGAGTTAGAATTTCGGCCAGGTTTCCGGCCTTTTCCCATGGTTTACAATTTGCCCAGGAAGCCAGTATCGATTTTTTATCAAAACCCACGATTTATCCTTTCCTTTTTGGCCTTGTGGTTATGAATGCTGTCTGCTGACCATGAAGTTGTGAGTTCAAATCCCAACCTATCCTCGAGTCAAACTTTTTTTTCATTGTTTTGGTGATCAAGCTGGTACAAGCCAAAGAAGAATAGATGGCTGCACCAAACGACTTGTTGTTGGAGCTCGCGCTTCCTGCCGAACTGACTGACACTTGACTGGCTCACGCCATGTGAACACACCCACACAACACTGCAATGGTGTGAGTGAATTATAATGGAAGTCATCGCGCTGTAGCTTTTTGAGATTTATTTTAGTATTTCAAGATCGCCAATTTATTTGAATTTAGCAGTCAACGCCGTCTTCTATCAGCGTTCACAAGCGTCTGCTTTTCTCAAAATGTCGTCGAAGTCACACGGATAGCTTTGCCAAGTCATGGCCTTGGGAATGAGTCCGTGTCGATGTCGTTTTCGTCACACGGTGAGTAAATTGCATCGCAGCTCAAAGTAACTATTTTGGTCACAAAACGGACCCATGCAGCTCGTCAACATTTACAACACTTTCGTTTCGACATGTTCTCTGACTCCATTATCGATACGAGGAAGAACTCGTTTGTTGTAAACCAGACGTACATGACTGTGTCAACGTGAGTGAGTTGTCTTTTTTCCTGCTTTCGCGCGGAATATTTCTTCGAGTTCACAGTGAGTTTTTCCAGGCAGCGCTCGAGTGCTCATACGGTAAGACGCCAAACTCCGCGGGCGATCGACAGGATTGTAAATCTTTTTGAAACGGACTGTAGTACTGAATCCTACCTGACTTCTTGACACGACTCAAACTTGCCAAAGTCACTAAATCAACGTCAACTACAATAATCAAGCCACATATCTGCAACGTCACGAGGGTGCTGGCAAAAGTCCTGCTGCACGGCGGCGGGCTTCGCCCGCCGCCGTGCAGCCCAATACGTGGTTTTTTAACGTGATTTTTTGGACTTTTTTGGACTTGGGCCAAAATTCTGCACACTTTCGCGTGTTTCCATAATACGACAAGTTGCGCACGGTCTGCTCACATTCAAATACAGTGCTGCCAACAAATGACAGCATGCAACAAAAAAATCTTTCCTTGCAAGGGCACATTTTCGGCCATAACTCTTGAACGGCTGGTCAGATAGGGACACAGTTTTCAGAGAATTTGCAGCTATTCATGCTCTTTCAACTGACGTAGCACTCAATATGAATTTACAAATTCGATTTTTCAGCTAATTTTTGGGTGATGTGCCCCCTTAAATCTACCATTGCATTTCTTTTTACGAGTTTCACATTTCCAGTATGCACGATCATTAGGCAAGTAAAAGAGATGATACTCACCCAGGACATCCATTTTCTCATGACTTGGCAACTTCCAGATTAATAGTGTCCACTCCTCTTCACCATCTTCAACAGGTCAGTTCGGCGATGACGATCAGCATGTGCAACATCACGATAAAATATGTCAATCTTAGATAAAAGGTTACAACTTCGGGGCTGTTCAACTTCACGGCGTAGTGGATGGCCCTTGCAACAGAAGTTTCCCTGGGTCTGTACTTGACTGGAGGTTGATAAATCGAATGCTCTGTACATGCAGCATGCGTGTGTAACAAACCAAAACAAAGCTATTCAGTGATAGAAGTATTCACTCCATAAAGCTTGGTTTTACTCACCTCTCGCCAAAGTTCCAAACATCACTCGTAAAATGGCTACCGATATCTCCCTGTCCAGCATGACCATGCACTGCCGACGAATCCACGACGAAGAGTGATAATACTACAAAAGGGAAGCGGAAATCTGACGAGAAGGTTTATGTATGGAGACGTCAAAACTGCTCCGCTTGCAGGAAGAACCAAAATAGATTTTGACATTTTGAAAATCCCGCGGAATTGGTGAATGTGGCACAAAAAAGATTATTTGGAAAAAATCGGCGTGCTCCAGCGCGAGGCGAGCATGGATCACGCTCGCGCATCTCGTTTCCACTCCCGGTATTTGACGACTCCTTTGACGACTCCCTGGTCAAAACCAGAGGCAAATGGTATCAAATGCGAATGCCCGCCTCAGCAACCGCCAAGCCTAAGTGAAATACTGTTATCAAATGTATGCCGTCTATATATGGGTACTGTACTCTACGTTACTACTCTACTTTATCACACTCTTTACACGGCAGCATGCACGGAATGTAGGTTAGGATAACAGTTATATTCACTGAACACAAAGAGGACTAAAGCAGAGGACTCGGGGGCAATTATGAGGAGAAGACAACTCGGAGGACTACCAACTGTAAGAACAACTGGGAGTACTACTCGGAGAATCAACTAGGAGAATCAACTAGGAGAACTAACTACACTGCGCAAGCGCAGCCTTCTGGTTATATCTAAGTTGTTGAGGTCAAAAGGGGTGCATGCAGTGTTTACATGAGAAATTTCAACCCGGGTCGAGTTCAGCCCGGGTTGAAAGTCTGTACGATAGACAAATGAGGTGAGCGTTTACATGAAGACAGTTGACCCGGGTCATATACTAATATGCCGCCAAAAGTCCACATCTACAGTTCTGTATGGTCACGTGAATCTGTTCGCGCGAAATGTGCATCTGCAGTGCCGTTCAAACCTGGCGCGAGATACGCACAGAAGTACGTTTGTACGATTTTCTTGACCCGGGTTGATTTCAACCCGGGGCGAAATTTCAACCCGGGTCAAGCGCAATGCGTCATGTAAACGCGCCATTCACTTTGTGCACATGGCGGGTTGAAATCTGACCCGGGTCGAACTCAACCCGGGTTGAAACGCTTCATGTAAACACAGCCTTTCTAAGTGGCAATAGGGTGAGCGGGAAAAGGGGTGCATGCAGTAAGTGGCAATAGGGTGAGCGGGAAAAGGGGTGCATGCAGTAAGTGAGACAGGGTGAGCGGGAAAAAGGGTAGATGTCTACGGTGCATGCAGTAAGGGAGGCAAAGGGTCAGCAGGGCAAAGGTCAGCGGGGAGTGCATGAATGGATGTGTGTACAGGGATGTGCAGATGTGTATGTATATGCGTACGGAAGTGTGTGCCTACGGGAATGTGTACGGGTCTAAAGGGCTCATACAACAATACCGAGCACCTTACGTAGAAACTTACGTAGCATAGCGATGTCGTTTTTTCTGCCATGTGAACACACTAATAGAAAAGCTGACAGGATCGCTTTTCTAAATAATAGAGAGGTTCCGGGGTACGATTTTGCGTGCCAAAATCCGTGTGGGCGCTACGGATTTTTTCCAGGAGTGCTCCATACGATTTTTTGGCACGGAGAATCCGTGTGGACTGGCTTTCACACGAACCATGTTTCGTATGGAGATTTTGCGTCATCGGGTGCAGAAAGATTTTTCGCGTACAAATTTGGTACGAGAAACATGGATTTTCCGCGGGAAGTTTTGATTTCGGTACAAACTTTCAAAATAAAAAGGCATAGCGCGGGAATGTGACGTGTTTGCGATCGTAACCTAGGCAATGACGGCAAACACATAAGTTCCGTACTCCGGAACATTTCACTGCTCGAAAACGACGTATAAAAAATCCGTAGCGCCTCTACGGATTTTGGCACGAAAAATCGTACTCCGGAACCTCCCTAATAATAATACCTTTCGTAGGGGTGACAGTCAGGGAGTCGCCAAATACCCTGGTATTTGACGACTCCCTGGTGGCAGTGCATGAGGTCAGTCAGTGTGTACAGGCCAGCAGATCTTGCAAAAATGGGGTGGCCGCGCGCGCGCGCGGTGCACCGGTGCACGCGCGGTGGGCGTTTGCAGCGGACTTTACGGTACTTTACGATAAGGAGGTTACGTACATGTACGCTTGATACTATCAAGCAAGGAGTAGTATTATACTGTGCTCCCTGCTATCAAGAGTACGAGTGTTTATTGTTTTTCCTGGCGTGGGATGCCTCTTGTACGGGCAAAACATAAAAATTAAAGACAATCAATGATTAGATCGAGCGCACGCGTACGCGGTGTTTATGGACTCTTGGTACTATTACCTGTGTTGCGTGACAGTAGACCGTATGGCCATATGGGGCATGCGGCACTTGGCTACAACGCCCATATATATACCGGTACGCCCATGCCAAAACGGTCTGTTCCAGCCTTTGGGGTTTCCGAACTGTTATGCTTTCAATCTAATGAATGTCGCCGATACGAGAAACAATCTTGCCAACACAGACTGGATCAGTTTTAGCACTTGCTTCCCTGCTCCGCTAGTAACGCTGACGCAAGCTGCAGTTTACGCTTTCTAGTGAAACGCCTAGTGAACTGTGGTGTATGCTATAGCTGGGACTGCAATTGTAGACTGCCACTTAACTCAAGATCGCAATGGCACGGGGACGTGTGGATCAGAACCCTACGGGATGTGCTCTGGCTGTGATGCTACTGGCTGCTACTGCTTCAGTCCTGGCCGGTGTTGGCGACGCCTTTGTCCACGGCTTTCCGCCATATCGCAACGCGGAACGCCACTGCCAAACGAAGACACTGAGAGCCGGAGTGTGCGATAGGAGATCATCCTCCCACATGGTATCGTCAATAACGGCAGCAATCACGCACGGAAATGATTTCTTCTTGACAAGCAGCCAAGGTGTTCAAATGATCTTTGGTCCCTTATTGATGACACAGGTAGACTCCAACAACCGTCTGATAACGGAAATAACGGTAAGACTTTGAAGTGTGTGTGTGTGTGTGTGTGTGTGCGTGTGTGTGTGTGTGTGTGTGTGTGTGTGTGTGTGTGTGTGTGTGTGTGTGTGTGTGTGTGTGTGTCTGTCTGTCTCCAGTCTGCCTGTGTGTCTGTGTATCTGTGTGTGTGTGTGTGTGTGTGTGTTTGTGTTTGTGTGTCCGTCTCTCTCAGTCCGTCTGCCTGTCTCAGTCTGGCTCTCTGTCTCAGACAGTGTGAGTCTATCTGTCGCAGTCTGTCTGTCTGTATGTATGTGTGTATGTGTGCCTGTGTAGTGTGTATATATGCCTGTGTGTGTGTGTGTGTGTGTGTGGGGGGTCCCAAATCTCTTTTTCTCTGGCCTTGCCTTCTGCCCACACTAAAGCTGGTTTTTCTCGTCTTGGCTACATAGGTTCTGATCGGTGGAATATGCTGCCTTCCACTGTTCGCTCTTGTACAGATTATCGCCCATTTGTTCGTTCATGCTTAACCTTTCTAGGGGCTCCCGTAAGAAGACCATAGGTCTGTGGGAAACACCCTAGTAAAATAAATAAAATAATAATAATAATAATAATAAGTGTGTGTGTGTGTGTGTGTGTGTGTGTGTGTGTGTGTGTGTGTGTGTGCCAAATATGCCATTGGTCAAATATGCCATTGGTCAAATATGCCACTGGTCAAATATGGTACTGGTCAAATATGCCACTGGTCAAATATGCCACTGGTCAAATATGCCACTGGTCAAATATGCCACTGGTCAAATTGGGCAAATATTTGACCAGTGGCATATTTGACCAGTGGAGATCAGGGAAATAAGTAGAAGTCAATATGAACCAATGATAAGTACAATCGACTTCGCTTATAACGACACTCGGCGGGGCTTCAGAAAAGTGTCCTTATTCGCGAAGTTTCATTACATGTGCTAGTATTACAGTTAGATGGGACTTTGCTCTGGGCATCGAAATTCTGTCGTTATTCGCGAATTGTCGTTATACCCGCAGTCGTTATTAGCGAAGTTGACTGTATAGGATATTGACCAAGACGAGGTCTATATTTCCCATGTAGACCGAAGTCTCGGTCAACATCCTATTTATCACGATTCCTTTGCCATATCTTCAAAAATTGATCCTTTAGGAGCTATTTTTGCCTTTTTAGTATAGCATGTGTACACTATAAGGTATATAGGATGTTGACTATTTTGGGTAGAGGAGACGGTTCGATACCGGAACGGCTTGACAGCCAAATTTGTATTGACCCAAACCGATCATCAGCGTGGATTGTTCACTCGAAATATGTTTGTGGAAGGAAACTGGCATGTTCTTTGGCCAGAGTCAATCGAACTGAGCCACTCGTTTGTGTTGGCCCATTGCCTCCAAGTTGCCCAATTTTTCGCTTCAAATCAGAGGTGGCTCCAAACCGGAAAGGTTTTAGAGTGCACGTCAAATTCACTCTGAGTTCTGAAATTAGGTAATTGCTATTGCTCCACGACGGCCAGTACAGAGTACTTCAAAGTAACAATAAGCCGTGTGTGTGCTTCCATTAGTTTTCATTGGTATACCGTGCTTTATTGGCGAGAGGCGAGCTGCTGTTTACCTGAAGACAAGAAGTTGATTTTTCGAGAGACGTAAAACTCCAGTCGCAGTGCGAAGCAACACGTCAAAAACTCACCTGCTTGGTATGGCGATTCTGGTCATCGCAGAGCCATGAAAGTTTGGCTCGAAGGAAAACACATCGTAGTCTCACTGTGACATGT